TATGAGAAATTAACAACTGAGCTGTTGCATGTACAGGTTTGACCTGTTCTCGTTTTCTTTTCTTTTCTTTTTTTCTCTTATTGTATATTTCTCTTCATTTCACTTTTATTTTATCTTATTTTTAGTGTTTTTGTTGGTTTTTATATGTTTGAAATAAAATTCTCAATCAATAATGTGGTGTTTGCCAGTTCGTGCCAGTGGCTAAACTCAGACAGACACTGAGGTTGAACAGTGGTGTAACATTACTGTGTCTTTTCTCCGTAGAGGGACATGCTGGACGTCAGTCAAATCATGAAGGATCTGGCCAGTATGGTCCATGAACAAGGAGATGCCATAGGTAAGATATTCTGTGTGTAGTTGTTTTCATTACTGTCCCAATTAGCAAAGATAACCATTGTGGTCGTGTTTTAATTTAATGTGCTTGATTAATAACACAAGGTTGAAAATTCTGCTGGGCAAAACAAAACCTTTTTAACCTCCACCTTGCTGCCACGCTGGAAGATTCTTGGGCCGAGAAGGAAAATGCTCTGGGTTCATACAAACAGTGGCCTGTTAGAGAAAATCCATTTAGACACCATGATATCTGTAAACGACTTTCCACACCCTGCAGTGATTTAGACTTGGCAAAACAGAATGAAACTTAGCACACAGATATAGGGCAGATATAGAGGCTTTACTGCTGGGTCATATTTCTGCCATCAGTTACATCTGGCTCCATCATGAACATTCCCTAGAGAATTGGCTGTTGCTTAATAATGTCAAACAACCACGTACACAGAGACATACCTGAAAAATGTTGTTGTGATGGGCTTGTAGATCAATTCTAAGTTGAAGTGAAAGGGCAGATGATTTTCCAAATTGAGGCCACTGTCTTTAGTTGTTGTTAGTGCCACAAAACATTTTAAGCTGTGAATTGTGGAGAGTCTTTCGGCTTTTTTAGCCAAATAAATGAGTATAATTTTAACCCTAAGTGTTCCCAATGACTCCTTTAAAGGATAAGGTCTTGGTCCACCTCTCAATACCTTCTCTTCTCTTCCCTGTCTTTTGCACTCAGCTCTGAGCCCACTGGCTGGAGGCTCATTATTTCCAGACATTGTAGTTTTTAGCAAACATTACTTCAACAGGAGCAGAATAGTGCATTTGTCAGGGACTATTTTCAGCCATGGATTAATACACAATTGGTAATCTAGTGAGTATTTACAGTACCAGAGAGGGTATGTGGGACTAACTCAAAATAAACTACATTGCCTATTTTAAACAAAACTATATATATATATATATATATATATATATTTATATATATAGATGTTTGTGTGATACTGTTCAGAAAGTAAAGGTAACTCAAGCCCTTGAATGGACATTTAAAATAATTAAAGGTGAGTTATATATTGATGAGTAATTATTGCAATTCTCTGGTATATCCACTTTTCCCTCAGTGTTTTGCCTCAGTTACTGATTTGCTAGAATGTGATGACTCATGGAGACTGTACAAGGGGTTGTTATATTCAGCCGTGACTTGTACGTGTAGGTGGAAGGACTGATATTGATAGTGATTGTGGCAGAGCATGAACAAGGAAGTGAGAAGTCATGTCCCTTCTCGGAAAGAGAGAGAAAAACACCAAAAAGAATGGGACCAGGAATGCACCATAGTAAAGCACTGTGGGAGACCCAGAAAAACATATCCTTTGAGTGAATCCACTACTGAGTCAAAGAGCACTGTGAAAGCCCAGCTAAGCAAAATGGATTCCTCACCCCTCTCTATAAAAGTCTAGGTTGGCATCACTTTGCTCCATTTTCCAAAAATAAGCTACTAAATAACCCATTGGGACAGTTTGATTCGCATAGTCTGAAACTAGTCCCTGGTCACATATTCTCTCATAACCACCTTTCAAAAAGTATTCTGAACACAAACTAAGTCAGCCCTCTATTCTGTCTACGGACAATACATCTCCAATTCAGCCCACATTAAGCTTTCATGAGTGATTTTCCAATAAAGATTGATCACCTGAAAGGTCCCCAGTCAGAACCACTATTGAGGACACTGGGGTCACGTCTGTGTTATTTTTTCTGGATGTTTTAGAGACCGTTGGGAAGTTTGCAATCATTGGTGGATATTTTATAGTTCCAGTATTCCTTTTCCACTCAATATATTCAGGCATACAAATAAAAGAGTTATTATTATTTATTATTTTCTTGCCATAGTTTAACCACTGTCCAAAGGAAATACCTCTTCAATTTTGGTGACTAAAGTCAAGGATCAAAGGTTCTTTTATTCTATTCTTTTGGCCCAATGAACCATTTCAAACCTGTTGATTATCTGAAAATTGCAATGTCACAATTTTCTGGTTAGTGGGGGGCTTGCAGTCATGACTTATTTGTAAAACCCTGTCCCCAGTGTGCATTTTTCATAATACGAATGCACTGAAATGATAAACAAGCCTGCAATGTTCAGTAACCCAGCAACTGCTTTCTGATGGTTAATTAAAATGTTGTTATTGTATTTTGTGCTGGAAATGAAGCCCGATAAATGCAACATTAGAACCAATTAAAACACCAAAAGGGAAACGGGGCTGACTTTTTATGACAAATAATTCTGTCGTGATGGAATTATTTATCTCCACAATAAGGTGTCACAACTTCACAAATAGACCTTTAACACCATGACATACTTTCGTGGTGACTAAGGTGTAAAGAAAATGACTCATGGTGCATCTCTTTGACTTTAAAGTGACAATTACCTTTCATCCCAACCAAATTATCCAGCTAATAATAGCTGGAAGTGTAACAGACCCACAGTGTCAATGTATCATCAAACTGTCTCATTATACATAGCTATATTGACTAACTGATAACTTCACCAGCAGTTTTCCTGTATATTTTCTGGCTCCATTCGTGGCTGCGAAAGCGGATCAGATTTTCACGGTCTGACGTCAAAGCTGGACCGAGCTGAGCCGGGACTGAAGTTCTCACAGTTACTGCTGTCAGGACGTCTCCTCTGACAGTGGAGCTGTCAGCACTGCGAGGACCACACACACACACACATACACACACAAACCCACACACTCACGCAAACACCTGACCCAATTTCCAAGCCATCCAGCAACAACAGCTAGAGAGACATCAACAGAAAGCCAAAAAAGCAAGTAGCATCAAAATCCTCTCTGTCCCCTCTTGGCAAACACAGCTTCTCCTCCTTCCCTCCAATTTTCCCTTCCAATTCCCTTAATGCAGACAACTTATTTTCCCTCTCCTTTCCTGTATTAATGCTTCCAAAAGTCTGTCCTAAATCCACTGGGAGAGAGATATCCTACCCAGACATTGTCAGAACCAACTGCAAAACAACCCACAAATCCAACTTGTAACCCCTTGAACTGACGCCAGTTCGTCTTACAGCCCCAGCAGCCCGGAGTAGAGCCAACCCTTACTTCCAAGTCGTTACCGCAAAAATGCAGTCTCCCAACCCCCTACACACCCCAAATCTCCACCTCCAATATCCACACAGCCCCAAGGAGCACCACGGCAAGCCTCGGCTACCTTCTTGACTGCCACCCCCCCCCGGCAAGACCACCATTCGGGCCCCATCGGCAGCTCCAGATGCCGCAGTGTGCCAGACAGGATTAGCTCACATCAGGCCAGAGGGGTTGCAGATCCTCCCTCTCCCTCCACCCTGCAACTTATCCTCTTTACCCTCCTCTGCCTGCTCCTCTGATCCCCTGCCACCAACATAAACACCACATGCACACACACTCACGCACGCACACGCTCAGAATTTTATTAATGACAACAGGGGATGGCAATGCTGCATATGCAGGGATGTGTGCACCCTTGCATACAGTATATGTTTACATAGATTTGCCAAGTGAATTAGATTCCAAGAGATGGAATGAAACTTTAATGATCCCTGTGGAGAAACAGGGCTGTTGCAGTAATAAGAGGATACATGGAGAATAGGAATACCATGTAAATACAGCTGCAAGTCGCACTGATCGGGATGCAAGCATGTTGAGACAAGAAGCACTTTAAAACGAACAACTTACACATGCATGAATCACCACATTGGCCAAAATATAGAGTGATGGACTTCTGAACTGAACATAGGTCTGACTTCTGTCACAGTTCAGTGGATGTGAGGAAATAATTTCAGCTCTGTAGGACATACGGGTGATTCAGTCTGGTAACGAAACTTTGATTTGTTGTAAATGGGCACTTTAAGTAATCATTACCAATATTCCGTGCATCAACTGAGTCATGGCCTTAAATCATCCAAACCAGATTTCATGTGAATACATGAAAAACTTTTTACATTGGGGAAAACCCTTTGTTTATCTCAAGACCATGCAGCGAACCTCAGACCTGGCATCCGAACATGTGCACCACGTTTGGTTTCAGTAGTGTAAGCCAATTGCGATTAATGAGCGTGTATGTTAAATTGAACTCAAAGACGCTTTGATCAACAAAGTCCGTAGATGAATCTGACTTTCAGGATGATTGGCCTGACGGCCTCTGACTAGTTCTCAGAAAACTGAGTAAAAAGTTTTTTACATTTTGAGAGCATTGGAGCAAACATGCAGATGAACTGACAGAATAAAAGAAAGAAAGCCAAGCCCTTTTTTAGATAATTTGCAAAAAACGTAAACGTGATTGTTACAGCATAACCTTAAGGTCAATGAGTGTCATTTTAGGTGCCTGTGTAGTGGGTGGAATTTGCACTCTGCCTGACCATATTGGTGACTTTTGGTCTTACGGTTATGAAAATAAGTAAGAAAGAAAAAAAGAAAACGAAAGCAAGTAAAAAAGAGAATAACGAAAACAGAAACTATAGGGCTCCAGCACTGCTTGAAACCCTGATAAAAAAGAATACATAGATGTGAGTGGTGTATATGTACAAATCAACTCTCAGACATAAGCATGCATGTGCAAAATATGGATCCTTGATTGATCCTTCATCTCCTACCTGACGGACATGGAGAACTCGCCCGGGGCGCTCTCACTCTCTCTGACCAGAAAAGCCCCACACTCCCTGTGCCTGAGTCGACTTTCTGCCACACCGCGAGATATACGGCCAGCAAACCAGCTGGAGGAAGAAAAATAAAAGAGGAAGCAAGTAAGAAATAAAGAAAGAGATTGCTCATGTTACTGTTTTATGCAGGTGAACTGTGTTGTTCTGGGGTCTGTGCAGCTACAATACAAGTTTGCACACATGGACTTATTTGTTTGGCTGTCTAATAACTTTTGATGTGTGTATTTTTGGTGGTATTTGATGAAGTCTGGAAAAAAAGGCAGCTCACAGCGGTGCAGATCAATGCTGACGGTGAAAAGAAAAGAGATGTGTGGGTCAGGGGGGAAGAAAGTAAAATTAGCACATTTGTGAAGTTATTTTTAAACACGCTGCTAAATATGCACGCATATCGAATCCCAAAACGCTGCAGTTGTCAGCTGTGGAGCGTAAGTAATAGTGTAATTTTTCATTTCTTTTTTGTTTTGTTTTGTGCTCATTAGTCTTGCTTAGTGGAGCAGTTTGTTTGGATGCAAGGTTTACATAAATGATTTCTGCTTTCACGAACCTGTGCTCTGCAACCACAGTCAGTTCCATGACACGAACGAGAAGAGAGCAGATCCAATACGATGACCCTCTCGGTGAATCTTTTAGGGTGAGAATTCTGGGGTTTTTTCTTCAAAGAGCCTTGAAATAAAGTCTCCTAGAATTTTGACCCTGTGACCTAAGACCTTAAAGGGACAGTTCAGCACACAATCAACATATTTTTCCTCTGACCTGTAGGGCTATTTCTCAGTCTAGTTGAGTTGCAGGAACTATTTTTTTTTTTCTATTCCATGAAAATGCTCATAACAAGTTCTGTGGGTTATATTATTAGGATTGGGTGTAACTGGGTCATGATTTCTGGAAAGGGACATTGCTGTTGAGTTTTTCAAATTTATTTTTATTGGCACTCTGAGCACCACAAGCCGAGTGCCATCTGGTTCCATTATATTCGAAAGAAGGCAGACACCTCTTTGGCTGATATCTCCAAAACTTGGCAGCTCACACCGATGCAAGCGAGATGCATAACTAGCACTACAGGTAAGAGGAAAACAGTTTTAATTTGGGGTGAACTGTCCATTTAAAAAGAGGTCTACAATGTGGCCCACTGGAATCTGCTCTCTCCTCATTTGAGTCATGGCACTGCCTGCCGTTGCAGAGCACAGGTTAGTAAGAGCAGAAGTCATTTGTGCGAACTTTGCATCCAAACAAACTGCTCTAATGTGGAGGAGGGAAAAAACACTCACAGACACATATCCCAATAGAAGACACATCTCCCTACGGTGCGCACAAACTTAACTAGGCAGCTCCAGCTGGGCCGCGTATCGGTGTTCATTAAGAGCCAGAGCTGCTCTAATGGCTGTGTTGTCAGTTAAGGGGTTTTGTCACAGCAAAAAACGAGAACC